CCCCCCTTCTCTTTTTTTTTTTTTTTTTTTTTTTTTTTTTTTTTAGGGAAACCGAAGTTCCGGCGGGATCAGCGACCCCGTTTATCCGCTACCAACCGTTTTTCTTGTTATTTTCCCTTATTTTATGTCGGGGGGAGGGGGAAACCGCAGATATCTATAGACGAACCGGTAGGGATCGATGGGAGAAGCGGTGTCTGTGACAAGTTGATCAAACATGCTGTCTTTGCTCCGACGCAGCTTCTCTTCCTTGCTCTTCTCCCCCCAAATCCTATCAGGGGCTTGTTAAAAGTTCCACTTTTCCCGAGGCTTTCTCTCCTCTTGGATCTAGTGACTGTGTCTCCCGATGCATTCTAAGGAAGGCGACTTCTTGTCTTTTGTGTCTGTTCTACCGTGTGCGTCTGAATCGAAGGACATTGATTTTGCTCTCCCTTTCCACGAAACGTTATTCATAGATGGGTAAGTGGAACTCGGAATTCTCACGAGGGCAGCGTCAACTTTCCTGTCGACTTTTTTTTGCCACTGTGTATTCAATAGATATAATTTCTTCTCTCAGCGAAAAAAATCTCACCATTAGTCCATGTCGAAGATGCTCTTGAAAATTAAATTGTCGAGACAGACTGAGCTCCTCGTCAATATTGTTGGAAGAAATGTTATATCAATTGAAAATGACTTTATTTATAATGTATATATATTTACATATTTCGCAGACTCGATAGCAGCGATGACCCGAGAAAACCTCGTGGTTAAGGCAGCCCAGCAGAATCATCACGCCCAGTTCGCAGAGCAGCCTTCTAGGTCTCCGAAGAAGAGCCCACTGGTATGTGTCACGTCATGCTTCAATTAGGCCATCTCACTGTTGTGCATATTAGTTTTCGTCGTTTCATGTTTATTTTTATTTATAGCTTTGTTGTAGTTTCAGTTTACTTGATTATACTTTACATTCCAGCCGTAATTTTGCTGAACTCATTGCAGTACGAAATGAGTAAAACCGTCACATTGGAGTTCCAGCTTAAAAGATTAGAGATGGCACGAATTACCAGAAATTAGGTCTACGTGTTGCTGATATAGCAGACGGAGATGGAAATGGCTTAAGTCTAGTTGAATCGGCCTTCCTCTGCACCTTGTGCTTCGTTTCTCCTTTTAGCTTGTCTTGAATTATCACAAAAAAATTAGTTTCCGTTTTTGGAGCTTTTTTGGGCTTGAAGTATCGTGCGCACGGGACCCTGATGTGCTTTACATCTTGAGTCTGGTTCTTTTGCTTTTTACAGAGAGGAGTAGAATCAGGAAGCGAAACGGGTTCTACACCACCACCCCCTGCCCCTGCCCCAGCCCCCGTACCTCCTGCCCCTTCCACTAGTAGCGGGGATCTGTCTTCAAAGAGTCACGAGGAGCTGGTTCTCCTCCTCATCCAATTACGAAGGCAGAGTTCTGGTATCCTCAAGTCCATCGAGGGCTGCCAGAAGGAGCTGGACGCCCAGAAGAGGATCATCGACATGGAGGCCTCCTCTCCATCTAGGGATGGTCATCTGGTCCGGCATCGCAAGTTGGCCGATCAGCTCAATGAACTCCAAACTCAGGTTTGGGTCAACAAACATGGGTCAACTTCACTGTTGTAATGAACGTCTTGAAGTAGATGCCGTCAATGCGATGTGCCGCCATTTGGGCCTTGGGCATGTAAAAATTCTATACCCATTTTATACGTGCTTCATACCCTCCATGTTCTTAGTTCGTATTTAATTCAATTGTCCACACAAGTTTTTATTTCCATGCCAGCAATCAATAATTAGGCCTTGCAAAATAACTTAGGATTTCACTATGGTGATTGCAGCTCATGTTGCCGGTTTTCAGAAAGTTTGGATAAGAAAGCTTCCTTGGTGCCTGAAGCATGCTGGTAGTGCAGACTTCCTCGATCCATCCTTAATACCTTAATAATAACCGCTTTGTTAACGTGACATGTATGTCACTGGTGGCGGAGCTCGTAACTGCATCTGGGCAGGCGCGGCAATACCGACGTCAGCTCGCTCATCTAATCAAGTGGGAGGAATGGGGCGTTGCGGACGTGCCCTGAACTTCTTTAGCAGAGGGACCTCTCTCACTTGGGGAAGCTTGATCCGTTAGTGAGGACGGGGTTTTAAATTCCTTTCTTCTTCCTCGAACCAGGTTTTTCCCCCAGACTTTTCTCGGCAAGGAATCGGGATTCCATTTCTTTCTGTCTGGGCGCAATCCGAGAGTGATGCCTTGTAAGAAGACTGGTTAATCTATCGCGAGCTGTATGTTGGGACATCCTTTAGGCTCACATTTCAAAGGAATAGTGATGCTTACGACGTTGTCATGAATGAGAGGACAGATTAGGTTTCTTTCTTCGCGTTATTAGTAGTTGGATTCGGTTAAGCTCGGATGTTGACGTCTTGATGATGTCTGTGATTTGAGGCCTTAGAGTCTATCAAGGTCACCCCATAATAGACAATGGAAAGATTCAATTATCGTCCGAGGAGTGCTATCTTCAGATCCCTCGTTCACTGGATCCATACTTCATCCTTTTTATTACAAGGTTTTTCAATCTTTTATTGAACGAGGGGGAAAAGCCGGGACGGATTTTCTGTCATTTATCCCACTTGACGCCTGAAAAATTAGAGCTTTTTTTTATTACCCTCTCCCTCCTCCTACAGTCCCTCGCTATATAAAAAAAAGAGGTTAAGGAGACTAAATATTTCGATGTCAGCTTTAGTGCTTATACAACTCAATAGTAAATTACACAACAAAATTATGGTCTTTCATGAGTTGAAGAATGGATACAGTTTACTTGTTACCACCCACTGGACAGCAAATAAAGCTACCACTACAGGGTCTTCAAGTTGCCGCTACAGTTCAAAGGGCGAACCGATCTAGGTGAAGCAACTTTCACGTCCTGAGAAAGGGGGCTGGGGGAGGAAAGGAGTTTATGGCTTGTGAATTTTATTTCACAGAGATAGCTTTAGATCCAACATGGGACTTCAAGGCTGATATGGCTCTTCTTATGCAATCTTCTAAACACAGTGCACTGGTATTTAGAACATGGAATTAGTCGTGTCTGATTCGATCTTCCTTGCCAATTAGTACCTGGCTACATAACAACCAACGACAAATGCTACGTTAAAGATGAGCTTTTGCATTTAATGTGATCGTTAATCATGCTTCATTCCTTCAGTTGAACCAATTTTTTGGAATTTTATTATTGGCAGTATGAGATACAGAGGCCACTGATTCACCTGGTGGACAACATGGTGAAGCTGGGCTCCATATACGGGGAAGGAGGCCAAGGGGGACGTATGCGGGCCCCCGAGGAGATCCAGGAGAAGCTGGACTTCAACCATTGGATCCAGGAGAGACGCATGGTGGCCCAGGATCGCAAGCAATGGGAGAAGGAATCCCCTGATCAACAGGAGCTCGAGGTATGGTCCCCCTTGCATCGCACTTTCATTTGTGACCGATGTAAGATAGCAGATTTAAGCATGATTACGTCACGGAAGGAGGGCTCCAACATCCCATCGCACTCGAGCACTCGGACAGGGGTCGGTCACTGCATGATGAATTATGTCATTGATTAGTTTTCAGAATTTAAATGATACAATTTTGTCATCCTAGCAGCTTATAGCCTATATGATTCAGCTAGCAGTATCAAATTAAGTGACTGTGACGCATGACAAAGCTGTGCCATGCATGATATATGGTTTTGTTCCTACCTCATGTTCCCCCTTTTCGTTCTTGGGATGTGTATGAAATGCAGGCCAAGATTGAGCAATTGTATCACTTGGAAGTCATCCTCCGAAGGGAAGCTAAGGTACTCCAGACTCTTCAGAAGGACAAGGTATGGATTTCTTTTAAATCAGTTCATTTTGTTTTACTTTGCATGGTTTCTGCATGGCTGTATATTTGGCTGTTCCTGCATGTTTAAATTTGAACTTAGTGTTGTTAATTGTCAATTACACTTCTTGCCATTGCAGTTGGTGATTTCATAAAATTATTAATCAAATCAGTACTGTAGTTACAAGTGTTGTTGATCAATACTTCTTCAGTCTAATTATTTTATTCAACTGTTGAAAAACACATTTCCAACTTACCACTAACTCTCTAACCCTATCTTGTAACCCTTTCATGGTCTCATACTCTACTACCACAGGCAATTTTTGCTTGCAAGCAGTCCACTTATTCCTTGAGCACATTTTGTGCAGGAGCTGTTGGAAGGAGCTCTGCAGAGTGTGAGATTGAAGTTGCAGCAGTTGGGCAACTCTAATCCACAAGAGATGGAAAAGCTACAGAGACAGCAGCAGCAGCTGGAACGGGAACTGGGCCATGTCCGCTCTCAGCTTCTTCAGAGCTCCAAGGTATGACCTGAGTTGCATGTAAAATCACATCTCAGTCCAGGGGTGCACTTGGATTTGCATATGCACAGTGAGCAAACACAGGTGTAGCCTGAAAACTCATTTACAAGTTTTATTTTTAGTGATATTCTCCATATCATTAGAAAAGAGTCATTTTGTTTGAAACCCTTTGGTATTCTACCCCTATCCTTTAGAAACTGGAGGAAGCAGAGACTGAGAACAGTCGATTGGAACATGAATTGATGGTCCTTAGACAAAAGGTCCTTCTGGCACTCAAACATGCTACTAGTCTACAAGCTCACAACCTCGCCACTCAGCAGCTTGAGTCTGAGCTCATGAGGGTTCAGGTAGAATCAAGTCCTGTGCTGCCTCTGTTCCTCCCCATAATGTGCTTTCTGTCAAGGTTCTTCATGTTTCAGCAATTGACAAGGGACCTGCAAAGAAGGCGAATGGAGCTGAGCAAGCAGGTGCAACAGTTAACTGAACGATGTGAGACTTCAGGGTCAACTCTACCAAAGCCTACAGCACAGGTGAGGCCCAGTCCTTCTGGTGTGGCTGGAGCTGCTCCGATCCCAGCTCGCCGCAAGCACTCAGATGTGTGGCTCGAGACAGATTTGGACTCTGCTGTGAGCATGGACCGAGGAGTTGATCGTTTGACTTCTGAAATCCCTCCTCATCTCTATGTCAACACATCCAGCTATGACGATTCTTTCTGGGTGTGTATGGTATAATTATAATCCAGTGTACTACTAATTGGAAGAAGGTTGAGCCTTACTTTGTTCCTACAGTACATGAGCAGGGAAGACCCATATGGAGAGAAGCAAGGCATAGCATGGGAAGACCAAATGGACCATACATATCAGAAAGCAACGTATCATCAACCGGTGTATCAAACATACCAACCTCCCCCTCCACCACCTCCACCCCCACCAACATCATCTGTGGCTCACATTGCTTTGGGAGATGGGAGCCACATGTTCATGGACATCAGTGAGGCTGATGATCGCATGAAGAGGTTCTATGGTAAGAGGATATAATTCATGGTTGAGGATTTGGAGATATGGAATGGATATAATTAAGCTGAATGTTGTTACAGGGATCCTACCAAAGGAGAAGTCCCTGGAGATCAAGACAGTGAGGACAGTGAAGCGAGAAGCACAGCAGCGCCAGAAACGACGACCATCTATGGAATCTGGTCCAGGCATCCCAGGTCGTCCATCTGATGAGGAGCCTGATGAAGAGGATCCCGACCCTGCGACTGTGATAGAGAACGACCCAGTCTTGTCCCAGTTCCAACGTTCCATGTCACTACCTCGCAGCTATGGACTCCGCAAGTACCCCAACTGGAAGGAGCCAATGAATTCATCCCATATAAATCATCCAGCTGTGCGCCAGCAGCAGGCAGTCCTGCTGCGGCGAAGTGCTGCCAACCTAAGGGTGAGTCTCCAGCTGCTTTTCTTTTCTGGGCTGTGCATGAAAGCATTAGAATTTGGATGGCAATGATTTGTGATCCCTTTGTGAATGAGTGATCCCTTTCAAAGTCCTGTTTCATCAGATTGATACCATAAAGCATGAAAACCAATGAAATGCATTCCAACTGCGTTTGAAATCATGCATTTGAGATGGTTTTGTGCATTTATGCATGATCCCACAAGTGGGCATAGGAAGTGTAGGACCAGGTCTTAGAGCCTTCTTTTATGAAGAACACTCAATTAAGCTTAACCCTCTTAGTGCCAAGAACTTCCCTCCCTTCTTTTTGTGCAAGGCTCAAACAAGGATATATTGTTGTTGGGCACTAAATGATTTGAACTTCTATGAGTCTGTCTCAACATGCATGATGAAAACTCACATGCAGGGTCTTTTCATGGTTGATGTTGCAGAAGACATCCCTTGAATGAAATATAAAAGTATAGAGCAAAAGTGTAGTCTCTTTGCTAATATAAAAAAGGCCAGGTTTTCTGCCTTCCCTGAATTTAGTCATTGAATTAGGAATTTTGATATTGTTGTTCAGCATCTAGCATGTTTTGATTACAATGATGACATTGGCATGCAGCATTGATAGAACCTGGAGGTCCCACCTTTCCCTTCTTTCCTCTGCCCCTTCCCAAACTCCCAGGACTATGAGGATTCTGTAGATGCAGCATTCATTGGCAGCAGCAGCCCTAGTGTATCTCCACCCAGCCCCAAGTACCGCAGCGAGACAGCCCAAGCCATCATCCAGGAAATGCATCTATATCGGCGGAAGATTCCTCGAGAAAAGCGCAAGCACATCACCGTTTCCAGCAGCCGCCCTGTGACCTTGGAAACAGTGCGCAAATCAGCGGTACAAGAAAACAATAGATTCCATGGATTCATATTTCCCTGCTTACCTTGTTTGACCCTGTCGCGCCTGTTCTGCCAATGGGATGAATGTTCAGAGGTTTCATTCTGTCTTCTGCATGATTGGGACTCAACTGTTTTCTGTATAATTAATTGATTATGGTATTTCTTTTTCCAGCATGTAGCTGCATGACATTGTGGTTCTCCTTCAATTCTTGACTTTATATTGGGTCTTCAACTATGAATTTCATGTCTTTGGTTTGGTGAAGCTGACCAACATATTTTTAAATTTTCAGATAACTACCATGTGCTAAGAAATTGCATTTGAGCTACATGGAGCAAAAACTATTGGCCCTTTCTTCCAAGTTCTGTTAATTGTTTACCCCCAAGACACATCCAATAAATAGCACTAATTTCAGGATGATGAAGAAAATCTTCAATGTAATTTTTATTGAACAATATTGCAAATCAATATTGTAGTACAGTTCAGTAGAGGTATATTTAGGCAATTTACATTTTTTCATTTACTTGAAAACTGATTTCAGAACATTTTCATTAAGTTGCTAAGAACCACTATTTTATAGCATCCTTGTCTGCTCCTCTTGCCCATGAAAGTGGGAAGACTCAGAATACTCATTCTTCATCATCAGTGGGCACCATTTTGTTTCCATCAAGTGTCAGGAAATGTTTGATTATATTCATTGCAACCAGCTACATTTAGCAGAAGCCCTCACAATCCTCTTGTGAAAAACTATCTCCTGCTCCCCTCTTCATTCTTGGCAGAAATTGAGCATGATATGCTATATTGACAGACATGGAGAGGGGCAAGGGATGACCTGGAGTTGAGTGGGGGTCAGCTGGGTCAGAACCTGGGCCACACACCAGCTGCACACCGTCACAGCACTCCTGATGTGGTTAAGTCAACCATGCCCCATCGGAAAGAGGTCAAGTACAATGAAGAGACCATCGACACCATCCTTGGCACCCCACAAAAGATCCTCATCCCAGAGCGATATGTCCCTGAGGTGCTTAACTCCTTTGAGAAAACAGCAGAGCTTTGATGAATACATGTTATGGTTTTTTTTGCATCAGGATGAGTAATACTGAGAAATTTGTGAGGCTTCTGATGCACTATCATATGTTTAAAAAAATCTCCTGATATGGCAGATAGGTTCCAATTGTACGGCCAATGGTATGGACAACTACTTGGAGAAACCTATCCTAAAGATAGACCCTTTTTCCTTTCACATGAGGAATTTGTGCACATGGGTGGCTTTCAACTAGGAAATTTTTGTTCAAACTAGGAAATTGGAACCTATGTACCAACATTTCTTAGGTGAATTTTACAGATTGAAGCTGATCTTACACTGGGAAGTAGGCAAGGCATAGTGCCTTGCTTGACTTAGAGCTTTGGAGCATGCATAGACTCCCCATATCACACTTTTGCATGAAGTAAACAGAGTTTTAAGTGGTGGTCTGTTGCTGCAGGATGCAGTGCTGAGCAAGGAGGAGCAGGCAGAACGGAGCCGGAAAGCAGAGGCCATCAAGAAGATGTTGTTGAGTGAAAGTGCTCTGGCGAGCTCTGAGGATGGGCTTGGTGGGGATCCCAATGAGGATTCCCCATCACTCATGAAACAGAAAGTTGCCCTGGAGAGGAGGCAAAGGGAACAGCTCCTCTCTCTGAGTCAAACCTTGGCCCGTGAAGCCTCAGCCCGCACTCGACGTGTTGCTGGTATGAACTTTTCTGGATTTTCTCAATCCAAGTCTGCTTGGCTCACTAACATCTAGCACAAAGTTTGATTGACATCATGTTTCAAATAAAATTTCACTTTCTTATTTATTATTTTTTGTGGTTGAGTTGAGCTACAAGGATAATTCTCAAAGATCCCACCTAGTGAAAACATGCACTGCTCTGTAGTTCCAATCACATTTTCTATGAGTGACATGCCTCATCTGCAATTGCACTGAAACAATGCTTTTAGATTTTCCATTGGACATGCATTGGTTAACTTAGGATAGTACAGAATCTTGAGGTTGTGAATGAGAATGCTAGTATAGGTTTGATCTGCTTGGCATTGCCCATTTGTAAGTAATTTTGATAATTATATCACTAGTCAAATGGAATTGATGTGAACAGCTTGGGACAAAATTGCTTAAATATGAATCAAGTATTTATCTAGCAATGGATGGAAAATAGTTTATGGTTCAAAGTAATGCAGTTGTAGAAACAGGTCAGACTGAGAAATGCAATGTAGTCTTAATTCAATAAATATATACAACCCATTATTACCTAGGGTAAAAGATCCCAGGGGGTCTGCACTGGGATGTGGGAGTCTAGCAGAGATTATATATTGAAAAAAAGAATGAAAGCCTCTCCTTACATACAGCCTTGTAGGTTTGAATCACATTTTGTAGCTCAATATCACCCTTGGCACAAACTTGTGTGTGCTTGAGTTCCATACGTATAGCCCATAGAGCCTTGGTTGGTATTTTTTGGTTCTGCAATGCGCTATGTTCCCTTTTTGGCAGCACACCACTCACCTCCTTCACCATCTCCTGATGACAATGACTATTGACAAATGTGCTTGCAAAAGCTGTAGACCCTTGTTTGTGCCGACACCCTCCCAGGTTGGTTTTTTGTTTTCTTTTCCATCTCATTTTGTTCTTCATCTAGCTCCTGTTTTGAATACAAATCCCTCTCATGCAGGCACTTCTTTTTTTAAATAAAAATCTTCAAGTATTTTGACAACATCCCATCCAAACATTCCATTGAATCACTTATTTTGAAAATGATTCTCACAAGGAGAGGTAAAGATCTTGGATGCACAAATTATGAATGGATTTTTATAAGGCACTCGCAAAATACTTGTGATTGCATGGTGCTGTCATGCGACATTCTTACATGCATGTGTGGGGGGCTTTACAGTCCAATCAGATGCATGAACAAGCACAAATATGAAAAATGAAGCTGGACCTGCCTGGCACTATGGAGAATCATGTGAACAAGGGCATTGTATCCAAGCTTGCTTCTTTACTCGCTCTTCTCTTGCTATCAAACAGTGCAAGCACTGCAAGAGCTGCCGGCAGCCCATGGTGAAGGAGGGCCAAGTACAAGTGAAGAATCTTCATCACCCACCCCTGATCTCCCACTGGTGCAGCAGAGGGAGAACTTGCTCACCTAAAGATGAAAACTTGCACATGGTCCACCAAGATAGATTTAGAAGAATATTTGTTGCCCTTCCCAACCTCCTAATGGTGCAGCTCGAGGGAAAGTTTTCTCACCTGAAACTGAAGACTTCTCTCCTGACATTCAGATTGCCAAAGAAACCCCATTGTTGTTGCAGCTGAGCTTTGTCACGACCATGATCTCCCGATACAGCTGGAGGGACAATGACATTTGATTGGCCGATCAAGCAATAAGATACTTGCAGGGGTTTCTGTTATATCTTGTTCTGTCTTTGTGACCCCCCCCCCCCCCCTTTTCCCATGAGACTTAATGTGTTCCATGAGTTGAGAGAGTACTGTATGTTAGGGTTCTAGAGATTTTTCCACATGTTTTTTACAGTGATCATGGAGAGAATTTGATTATTAGTAAAGTTGAAATTGTTGATGCATCTCACCATTAAGTCTGCCTCTTATTCACTGAAGGACCAATAATTTTTTTTAAACAGGCCCTTGTACATCACTGGAATGGTCACATCTTGATATCAACAATACGTGTCTAGGCAAGCATCCACCTCCTGAAGAAATTGGAACCTAACTTTTCAGGTTCCATCAATTTCACTGCCCAATGTCAATGGTACAGTAATTCAATTCAGTGAAGTTCTTATTACTGACGAGTAGAAACAAAACCTAATAACAGAATTATAATGGAATATGGTTTTAACATTGTGTGATCGGAAAGTATCTAGCAATCTTGTGGGCACCCAAATGAATCACTAGGACTCCCTCATTCAACCAACCAACCTTCGAACTCCTGAAAGAGACCCAGACACAAATGACAAATCGCTATGCATCACGCCCAGGTTGCTATGGCAACTGTCGATAGACGGAATGAAAATAGAAGAAAAAGAGAGGAATAGAGAAAATGAGATGCTTCATCTGCCATTCCCATGAGAAAATGGTCGATATAGGGAAAGGTTCGTCGCTTTTTACTACCCATCGACCTCGTGCGCCTGAAAGGACTGAATGGTGGCAGAAATGAGGAAGGGATTCTTCCGACATCTTACCTCGAGATTCTTACTTCTGTTGACAATCTCATCAGAAATACCATAAAGAAGTAATTGTAACATGGGTCACACATGTTAGAGGAAAGACGTCAATGTCAGTCAACGTTCCTTTTCCCCAGACGTAATGAAAGGTAAATAACGCGTTCCGAACTCAAAGCATTACCTAGCCCCTAATACCATTACCTAGCCTTTCGCTGTCATTAATATTAACATCTTTGATATCAGAATATCATCCTTTGCTTTAAGGAACCTGATACAACTACAGAACTAAAACTGAACGCAAATTACTTTTATAACGAAAAGATAACGAATTAAACATTTTCGTTAACGATCACAACTCTGATTGTAACCGAACAGAAATGATTGTAACCGAACAGAAAACGTAACTGGAATTTGGTTCTTCCTAAAGAATAGGAATATAAACAGAAACAGCTCTGAGTTGCCAGCAGAACGAAGCCGAGACGAAAATCAACCCTGATGGAAGGAGAATTTGATATAAAAGCATCAAAACAGAAGGAAGGGACCTGCTGGGTCTTCGTACGTTCAAATTCGCAATGACTGGAAATGGAAAGAGTCGTCGGTTTCACTCTCGACCAATTTCATGCCAAGGATGAGATGATTCTGACGCTGGGATCGGGGTGTTTTCGCTTCATGCAGAACCTAAAGAAATGTCATCTGTGGTTGACATCAATCATTTATGGATCTTCTATGCATATGCAGATGGATTACCAGGGCATGGCAAAAGTGCTCGCCCCAATCTCGTTGCTGCCAGTACCATACAACCACCTCAAGAATTTATTCGCTCTTTAGAAGGGTGCATGGATCGATGGCTATTCCACCCATGAATCAAGAGCGCTGGCTCTCGAAACGAAGTCTTTCAGTGTCCTTTATGCATTGCCGGATTCGATTTCTCAACTCCAAACCAATTTTGCACGCGTCTCTATCGCCTACCTCTATTTGAAGCAAAAAAAAAAGTCCATGCATTGAAGCGATTGGCTCCCCAAAGATCACTTGGAGTATACGAGGAGAAATCACATCACTATCGAGTCATCAGCCATACATACATCCGTTTAAGCCACGAACGAGGAATTTCGCCTGGGGAAGTGGCTGAGCAGGAAGGCTGCAGGCTTGTTCCACTGCCGCCGCTCATCAGGAGACGGAATCGATCCCCAACTTTGTCTGGCAAGCGATGCCTTCATTCTTTTCCCCCTGGGATCACGACTCGAAGGTCCCAGAGAGTCAGAATCAAATTATTCTCCTCAGATAGCTTGAAGTCTCCTGCGAAATGGAGATGAGCACTCCCTTCTCTCTTTGTCTGCCTCTTTCGCACCTCATAGGAACCAAAATTGCTTTTCTCGCCCTTCACTGCAGCCTCTGGATCCCCCTCGTCCCTTCAGGCCGCTTAGAAAATTTTACGAGTGCATAAAGACGGTGGGTAGGAATAAAGCCGACACAGAACAACATCGAACTGGAAATGCATCGACACGGAGCAGCATCGAACGGAACTATCTCGACAAAATTGCTACTCGGAATAATACCGACTGATGTACACTGACATGGAATTACTTCGACAGGAGCATACCCGGATTTGCATCGAAAAGAAATATTCAATACAGGAACTACGCCGACATAGAATGACACCGACAAGCTAGCATAGGTGAAGGATGGCGATAACGTCACGTCGATGTCGCACATATTGTGGGCAAAATATGTGTGGACTAGGTGACTAGCGATGCTTCATTCTATCATATGCAGAATGCGGGAAATGATTTAGCAAGAATTCAAAATCGAGAATTTTTTTTTTGGGGAGAGAGAAAGAGAGAACGGTCTGATTCCGTAAGAAAAAATCACCAATTGTCTAGCACTGTGGACATTTACCGTCTTGCGCAATTTACGACTGAAGCATACATAGCACACATCGTGTAGCCGCAAGGGACGAGGGTGGAATCTCTATCACGAGTCGTGCAGGTGTCACATAAGAGTGTTGCAGACCCTGGTGGCAGTGGGGTGGGACTGTTGCATTTCCTCAACGTGACGGAAGAGATCTCGAGATTCGGATACCCATTCTGAAGTGTGATGATGGCTTCCCATTTCTAATGGGAAGTCAGGAGATTCGGGCCTGGGAGAGGATGAGAAAGGGTTCACGTGCATTCCCATTTCAGAACGCACAAGTCCTCGAGAAGTGGGCACGTGTTTAAACTGACACGGAACAACATCGAAAGTAACAGCGCCGACACGTCGTTCGCAGGTGTCGAAGCAGTTCCGTGTCGATGCTATTCTTTTCGATGTCATTCCGCGACACCCTAGAAATGATGACGATGCCACACCACAAAATGACAAGACCCTGATCTAGAAATTCTCTCGAAGTCGATGTTTACGTCGGAGCTACGACGATTGCCCATATTTACGATACACGAATGCGAATGAATTATCTTGATCAGTGTATCAAAAGCGTAATTATAAATGAATCAATCGTCCAGAAGATACGAGGAAAAGAGATTGGGACTCGTCACAACTCACCATGTTCGCCGTCGAAAGTTTCAACGCCACGACGGCTGGAGGAATGGAAGAGCAAGCGAAGGAAAAACCCCAAGTGGGCGTAGAAACACGTCTGGCTTTGCCCTTTCGCCCCAAGCGCCACACACCCTCGGAAAACGCCACGGCATCCCCATATCCATCCATCGACGGCCTTCCCCTTCAACCGGCGGAAACGGCCTAATAGGCAGAGCGTCCGCGTGCCGTCCGGGAGGTTGGGGTTCGATTCCCCAACCGCACCCCACCCAGGAGTTAATTGGGTACACACCTTCACCGTCCTCCCCGGGAACATAGGCGCTCGGTTCCCGGCTTCGTCCAGGGGGACGGGGAGGTGTGGAAAATAGAGCATCACGCATTATTTTTTGTAATATTTGTTACATTTTTTACATACGTCTCAAACCCGCTAACACCGGCTTTGTCGTCAACTACCAAAACTATACGAAGTAGCAATTAGTTTACAATATACGAGGACCCATCAAAAAGTTCCATCCTTCTGTACGTGAAACTAGGTGCAATGGTTTGGTTTGAGTATGATCCCTTTCAAAATATCTCCCTTGGCTTGCAATACACTTCCCACGTTTTTAAAGTGCTTGGAACACTGACTGTTGACCATTCCTAATTAACCACCTTCAACGCATTGGTCTCAACTGATGAGAGAGCGCCTGTGTCGTCGAAACTGCGGTCTTTTAGAAGGAACTTCCATCTGGGAAATATCGTGGAGTGACAAGTCGTGACGTCCAGGGAATAGGGAGGGTGTGGGAGCAATGTCACCCCACGATTGGTTGGAAATTTCCATGGTACTGCCTCAGTTTGGGTTTAGCGTTAACATTGTTAACAGTTTGAGGTTAACATTGATAACACATCTTCCCTATTCACCGGACCACGCGACTTGTTACTTCACGCTCTTTCCCAGACGAAGTTCCTCCCGAAAGCCCGCAGCTTCGACGACACGGGCGCTCTTCAATCAGCTGTCAACGAACGCGTTGAAGATGGTTGCCAAGAATGGTGTTACAGTCATTGTTCCAAGCTCTGTACAAACGTGAGGAGAAGTGTATCGCAAGCTAAGGGAGCTATCTCAAAGCATACTTAAACCTTACTCCTATTCATAGTTTCCTCGTACGAAGGCCGGTCCTAGAACTTTTTGACGGGTCCTCGTACATTCTCCTAGAATATTTTATGGTTTGCTCAATCGAACCGAGAGCTCGGTCTCGGTGATCGACTCGCAGTAGCAGCTACTTTGCTTTCGTTTAACAGAGGAACTTATTTCAGCCTTTCCACGAAGGAAATGGAGAATTGAGTCTTGGCATGACTTCTTGATCCAGTCTTAAGTCATTTTACTATCCTCACTGATACCTGTAGGACGGACCAAAAATTGTTTTACATTAAATTTATAGGTTAATCCACCCATTATTTGAAAACCCTGAACTGGATAATGAATAAATCTTTCATATTTTGAATTTAAAATATTATTTGACTGAATAAATATTTCAAAATTATTTAAAAAAGTATATGAAGCTCCTAAATTAAGATCTATATAAGATTTTACGACTTTATCTTCTTGAATATATCCATCTGGTGAAGAATAATCTATTATAAAATCATTTGTGTTTTTTTGACTTACAAAATATAATTGCCCTGTTAATTTTAGGTTATCATTAAATAATTTATAAGACGCATTTATTTTAGTTTTCAGGGCAGGTAAATTATTTACTTTGTTTAAAGAGTCTAATTTATAATTCTGAAAGTTAAGTTCTAAATTCAAAGATAAATTTTCTACATTTAAGTAATGAATAGTAGCAACTACACCAATTTTTTTTCCATTATCATAAACTGTTGAAAAAGTATTAAATCTGTTATAAGCA